TTCCAGGATTCTTTAACCCAGAGGACAGCCTGGCCAATTCGGTGGCCCACCTGCCCTCCTGGGTGGTTCCACCCAGCAGCACAGGCAGCAAAGACAGGCCTTGATAACATGCTCCAGGCCGCAGTCTGGGTTTTTCAGTCTGATATTCTGACCCCATCTCCCCACCACCCCCGACGACTTTGTTCCTCCTCTCCTTAACTCCAGGATAATCTTCTGCAGCACTGGCTTGTCATTTCTCCCTCATCACCTCCTGCCCCTTGCATCCTTAGTCACTCTGCCTAGAATGCCCCTCCCATTTCTAGAAACTTCTTTGAGTCCATGACAGCCTGGGCACTTCTCCGTGGGGACCTCTCTATAGGCAGAAACCTTTAAGACCCCTTTCTGACTGCTGGCACCCATACCCCCACAATGGTTGGAGTGAACTAAAGGGTGTTCCTCCAGGAGTCTGCTCAGAGTCTTAGCACAATGTCCATGTGTTTTTCTGCAGCCCCCAACTATTTTAGTAGCCATCCGCTGGGGGCACCCGGCAAGTGCCCTTCCCTAGACCGGGAAACAAGTGGACACCAAGTCATGCAAGCCCCATGTTCCAGCCCAGATTCTTTCTATCATTTACTAGGTGACCAGAGAAAGTCATGGAACCTCTCTGAGGTCAGCCACCCCTCTATGTCCAATAGCGACAAGAATAATCTCTGCTCTGTCCAGCTCACCCAGTGTCAGAGCTTGGGGTTAAGAAAGGCTTCCTTGGTGACTAATGTAGTATTCATGTGATAGGGATCCTTCTCTTTAAGAGGCCTGGTTTGGAGGGCTCTCAGAAAGTCTTCTCTACACCCCAACGGGCTTCTGTTCACTCTATCCCTCAATCTGTCATGATGCCTGAAATTCTGCCATCTGTCATTCTTTTGGGCTAAGGTATTATTATTGTTTCTATCCAGATGGCCCCTGTTAAAAGATGCCAGCGATCTGGGAATGGTGACACAGTAGCCCCAGGAGCAAAAGCCTGCTCTACCATTAACGAGCATCTCTTTCATGGTCATTCCCTGACCCTAGTGTTGGAAGGGAAATAGGTGTGAGCTTTCTGGAGTTAAAGTTGGCAATACTCATCAAAAGCTTTACAAATATGCACACCCCTTTGATGCAACGATTCCTTCTCTGGAAATTTCTTCTTTTTTTTGAGACAGAGTTTCGCTCTTGTTGCCCTGGCTGGTGTGCAGTGATGCAATCTCTACTCACCACAACCTTCGCCTCCTGGGTTCAAGTGATTCTCCTGCGTCGGCCTCCTGAGTAGCTGGGATTACAGGCAAATGCCACCATGCCCGGCTAAGTTTGTATTTTTAGTAGAGACGGGGGTTTCTCCATGTTGGTCAGGCTGGTCTCAAACTCCTAACTTTAGGTGATCCACCCACCTCAGCCTCCCAAAGTGCTGGGATTACAGGTGTGAGCCACCGTGCCCAGCCGGAAATTTCTTCTAAGGGAACACTGTGTTCAAAACTATGTATACAAGGAAGTCTTATTTATAGTAGCACAGCATTATAAATAAATAACTTAAATGTCCAAAATAGGTAATTGGCTAAATAATAGTATATGTGTACACTCAAATACTACCAGGGAGTGTTTCATGGGCCTGTGACCAAGGCACAGGGCCCCAAGCTCAGAAGGCCCCTCACTTGCTTGAATGCTCTGCTATCACTGGCTTCAAATTCTTAATGATTTTGAGCAAAGGACTGCTCATTTTCATTTTGTGTGGGCCACACACACACTATGTAGCTACTTCCTAGAATATTATGTAGCAATTAAAATAATGCTTATGGAGAATATTTATTGAAATGGGAAATTGCTTCAATTAAATGAAGAAATGAGGATCCGAAACCATAAATGATGCAATTCTAATTTTGTTTAAAATAGAAACATGTAGATAGATAATTAAAAAAGAGTGAATGAAAATTTACCATACCTTGTAACATATACAATGTTAGAGCAATTATCTCTCTCTCTCTCTTTTTTTTTTTTTAGATGAACTTTTGCTCTTGTTGCCCAGGCTAGAGTGCAATGGCATGATCTCAGCTCAGAGCAACCTCCACCTTCTGGGTTCAAGCAATTCTGCTTCAGCCTCCCAAGTAGCTGGGATTACAGGCATGTGCCACCGCACCCAGCTAATTTTGTACTTTCAGCAGAGATGGGGTTTTACCATATTGGTCAGGCTGGTCTTGAACTCCTGACCTCAGGTGATCTGCCCTCAGCCTGTCAAAGTTCTGGGATTACAGGTGTGAGCCACCGCACCTGGCCCAGAGCAATTATCTCTAAGGAATCAAAACTACGTGTATTTTTTTATTACTATTTTCTTCTTTGGATTTTTTTTTAATTTTCCAATACAAAGAGTATGACTGTGCTTCCTGACTAATATTTCCAGAAGAGGCAAAAAATGTACATCATAGCTGAAAACAAGCAATTGTCTCTCGTGCCTCTGAGTGAATACAGAGCCCTTTATATGCACAGTAGCCTTCGGGATAAACACATGAAGAGAAGATCAGTTGATGAGGAAACCAATTATGATGAGCTTCTCAAAGCTGAAGACTGATTTCTGGGTCCCCACTTCCCTCGACAGGCCTGGCACAGATGAAGCACAGATAAAGTGAATGGGCACCCGGTCTTATTTATGGTGTGAGGTCACGAGTAGTCTTAACCCATGACATGTCTCACCACATATTATATTAACCACACTATGGTCTATGGTTTGGTTTTGTTTTGTTTTGTTTTTTGAGACAAGGCAGAGTCTCACTCTATTGTGCAGGCTGGAGTGCAGTGGTGCGATCTCGGCTCACTGCAACCTTCACCTCCTGGGTTCAAGTGATTCTCCTGCCTCAGCCTCCTGAATAGCTGGGATTACAGGCGCAAGCCACCACACCCAGCTAATTTTTTTTTTTTTTTTTTTTTTTTTAGTAGAGATGGGGTTTTACCATGTTGGTCAGGCTGGTCTCAAACTTCTGACCTCAGGTGATGCACCACCTTGGACTCCCAACTTGCTGGGATTACAAGCATGAGCCACTTAGCCTGGCCCTACCACTCTATATTTTGACTTGGAAGCTAGACCTTCTCTCTGGCCTGGGACTAGACTGCACCCAGAGTGAATTTCTGGATCAGGGAGAGGAGCTGCCCCTCAAGCCCTTTTGTGCCCCATTTCTCTCTGGAGCAGAGGCCAGACTTATTCCTACGCAAATCTGGGGGAGCACACGCGGCTCCACCTGCTTCCCTGGTGTGGGTGTTGCATTGCAGGCTTCACCCCAACAGCAGAGGGCAGTAGTGGTTAGCAGGCCCAGAAGGAGACCTGGGGTGGGAGGTCCTCCTGTAGAGAGTGGCCCCCCCTAACTCCACACCTAGCTCCTATAAATCCCCTCTCCCAAATCTTTTATCAGGCTGTTGCTGACTGTCCTGACTCAGCTGAGTATGGCAAGGGACACGAGAATTAGCTCTCTACATCCAAGGCCTGAGTTAATGTCCCCATGTGATAGATGAGACCACAGGGGCCCTGAGAAGGGATGAATTTGCTGAAAGCCACACAGTGAGCAAGGGGCAAACAGAGATCTGAGCACTACTGTGGGGAGGCTGGGCTTATAACATGGAGCTGCCCCTTGTGAGACAGCTATTCAAAAGGAGGTGGGCAGCCCCAAATATGAGTGATGTCCCCTGCACCTTCTGTGTGCCCATGCCTGGGACATGTGTCTCAGTCTAGGGCACACTCATGGCTATGCTGGGGTGATAGGACCACCCTGCCTCTGAACTCCAACACTTTTTTCATCCCTGTGTTGCTCGGTGGGCCTTTCCTGCTCCACTAAGACTGAAATCTTCCCGGGACACAAGGGGGGCCTCCTTCTCCTGCCTGTCTTCCCTTCAGCATGCCCAGCAACCAGCAGGGCTCACAGTGCTCAGGGAAGATGTGGGGGCCCGAAGGTGGACTGTAGAGGGCATCACAGTGCTCATCTGTGCTCTGCTGAGCCCGGGCTGGGCTGTGGGAGCTTCCTCCCCTTCCTCAGTTCCCTGGTGATCTGATGAACTCCTGAGGGTACATCCTGCTGTCCCACCTCGGGCCTTCACCCCATGATGGTCCACTGGGAACTCCTTTCCCCAGCGCCTCTTTTCCTCTCCTTTGGCTCCATTCTTCCTCCTTAGGACCCAGCCCTGGTACATCCCACCCCCTGCCCCATCACCTGGGCTCCCACAGCCTCTGGCCTATAACCCTGGGGACCCTGAACACTTCAAGATGCAACATAGTCCATTGGGGAGGGGCCTTCAGAGCCCCACAGATCTGGGTTCAGACCTGGCTCTTCCACTGCACAACATGAGTCAGCTTGGCAAGTCCCTTAACCTGATCTGTGAAAAGGAGATGCTAACCCTTGCTTACGTGGACAGGCATGAGGCTTCAGAGACAGCACAGGGAGTGCATGGCAGAGCAGGCAGGCAGCTAACAGCTGCCATTTGTACCTTCACTGGATTATTTATATCTAAGATCATTCTCCCTGTGAGATGAAGAGCACTTTGAGGGCAGGGATGGGGTCTTTTTGGGTGTCCCAGGACTTAGCATAGGTTGAAACAATGACTGGATGAATGAAGTGTCTGGGGATGGTCAGGGACTCTGAGAAGTCTGCTCCCCACCATGAGATTCAGGAAAACATCCCTCACCCCCCATACCCAGCTGTACTCAGAAGAGCCTCCTCCCCACCTTAGCCCCACTCTCCACGCTTGCAATGACAGCTTCACCTCAATGACTTTTTCCCTCCTAATTATCCTTTTAAATAAAATTTATGAAGGTTTTCATAAATTTTAAAACTGATTTACACACTTTAATAAAAGCATGTGGTGGACAGGGAGTATTAGGCTGCAAATTTTCTGCAATAAAATTGACAGAAGCACATCCTGGATTATCAAGTTTGGGAGCTGCCCCCTCCCCCAGCCCCCAGGAGCTGCCTGCTTGCTCAGGATTGACAAATGTGCCTCTTGCTTGGCAGACGACGGTAAGCTGGGACGGAGACAAGCTCCAGTGCGTGCAGAAGGGCGAGAAGGAGGGGCGTGGCTGGACCCAGTGGATCGAGGGTGATGAGCTGCACCTGGTAGGTTCCTGGCCTGGGTCAGCCTGGGTACTCAGAGGCCCTGGTCATGATTGAGGTCTAGATGGACCTTGAAAGAAGGCACTATGGCTGGGCCTTGGTTCTGTTGTGAAGCTTCTCTTCCAAGGGCCTGGAGAATGTGCCTGAGTGACTTTAAAATCCAAGCAATGTGTTGTACAGGTCTAGGCTGACCCAGTCGTCTAATCAGAGGGAAGAGGTGAGGAGATATATCTATTAAGCATCAGCAATGAGCTAAGCCCTTTTGCATTCTATAACTCTTTCTATTCTCTCAGAATAGGAATATGGCTCTTATTTTAGAGATGAGGACATGGAGGCTCTGAAAGGTTAGATTACATGTTCAAACTGCACATCTAGAAAGTGACGGAACCCACATTTGCTCCCAAATGATGTATATATTCAACGTGCCACATTGCGTAGGCCAAAGCCAAGAAGAATTCTCTAAGATGTGATCTCCGTCTGGGTCAGCGGGAGGTGATTTGGGAGGGGAAGCATCAGGGGGTCCTGTTGGACAGCTCTGAGCCACATCTGTTCCACTCAGCCAGCTCTGTCTATAGGGTGCTGCAGAGCACTCCACCGTACAATTTAACTGCCTTTCCAAACGATTGGTTACTTAAACCAACTGTCAGAGAAAAATAACAGCCAACGAGTATTTTCAAAGTTCCTGCCGCAAGTGTGACTCTGCTCTGGCCAATGACCAACATCTGCTTTTGTTTCAGGAGATGAGAGTGGAGGGTGTGGTCTGCAAGCAAGTATTCAAGAAGGTGCAGTGAGGCCCAGGAATACAACTTCATCCCAAGGAATGAGCGGTGTGGATGTGTGGGCCAGGATCTCCCTCTTTGCACAGCATGAGGCAAACGTCCAGCCACCCCCAGGCATGTTAGCAGAGTCTGTCTCTTGCCTTTGTCTCTTCCTTTTCTTAAAACGAAGCCATGCTAATAAAGTGATCTCTGTTCAAGACGTCTGTTTAGGGGAAGTTTCACTGCCCACTGTGCTCACTTTTTTCCCGGGGCTTCTGAGGCCAGCTTCTCCTGGTGCCACCCATGGGCAGAGTGGATAAATTCAGCCACATGTCTTCATATTTAGTCCTGAAATTGCACCTGTGTTTCTCTCCAAGGGCACAGGCTTGGGTCTAGAATGGCAGGATGGGAGGGTAGCCTGACATTCAATCATTTGTGTATATCATGTTATATATCTAATTGTGGTCAGTCTAGTGAGTGCCACAAAAGCAGGAGAAGAGAAACCTTCCACCCTAGAGATCCAACTAGCAGAGAATGTCTATGTAGCTGCACAGTATGCACAGGAGAAGCTTCGTCATATTTGGGAATGAAATGGAACTGAACAGGATTTTCAGCCCAAAGCTTAAAATTACTTAAAATAGGTGATAAGTAATCACCTATTAGATTTAATTTCAGAGATGTCATGAGAAATGTCACGACCCCCAGACTATCACCCCATCTATGGGCTGGTGTGAAGCCTTTCTTTTCACTGTTGTAGATGAAGCATAACTTGCAACTCCCCTGAAAGAGACAGAGCAGCCTCGTGTTCACACTAAAGTGTAGGAGATTGCTAGCTGCACCTTTGCATAAAGCAACACAAGAAAACGGAAGGAGGAATGAGGATGTGAGAGATCATGGATACGGAAAACAATTGGAAAAGGACAAATGGAGGACCCCCTTGGTACACCTGGACTATGCCCTACTCCTTGACAAGAGTTAGGAGTCAGACCAGCTGAATAAAAATCCCAACTTCACCACTTACAGAGAATACTGGGACTGATCTTAGTGGGCAGTGGGGAGCCACAGGAGGTTTTTGAGCAGGAGAGTGACATGATCATCCTCTGAGAAGAATGAATCTGCCAGCCATTCTCTCAGTTGCAAGAAGAGGAATACCAGTAAGGCAGTTAGGAATATCAGTCAGCACAGGAATTTCACTTCATATGAGATTAATCTTCCCAAAGAAAAACATGTAAAATAAGAGGAATGTTTTCTATTTCACATAAATCTATAACCACAGAAACAGGCTTTTGGCTTTAATGCTGCTTTTCATTTTCTCAGCACTATCCAAAGTTTGCAGAGGGCTCGCTCCTAAGCTGGCAGCAGCATGCATCATGGGGGGTGTCCAGGCTTCTTGGTGGCATGCTAGCACCTCTCACCTCTGGTTGAAAGCTACTGATGTTCACTCCATTTTCGGAACACTACTCCAAGTACCACCACTTAACCAGCACTTGGATGCCATTGTTATAGGATATAAAAAAAGATTTTCAATTCTAACAGCACCGGATAACATAACTGAGCATTAATAAAGAAATCACTCTGTGAATTTCCAAAGCTTGGCAACAATACTGTGATGCCCATGAGGACTGACAAAGGATGGAGATTTTGTATTTATCAGCTCATCTGGTACCTCTAGGCTGTGGAAGTGGAGTTAACCACATCTGACAATTCCCTGGGCCTGCCACCTTGAAAAGTACAGGATTTTTGACATTTTTGAACTGAAAGTTAACAATATTTCAAAACATACTCAGAGTCTTCATTTTTTATTTATTTATTTTGAGACAGTCTCACTCTGTTACCCAGGATGGAGTGCAGTGATGATCTTGGCTCACTGCAACCTCCATCTCCCAGGTTCAAGCGATTTTCCTGCCTCAGCCTCTCGAGTAGCTGGAATTACAGGTGCCCACCATCACACCCAGCTAATTTTTGCATTTTTTTTTTTTTTATAGAGACAGGGTTTTGCCATGTTGGCCAGGCTGGTCTCAAATTCCTGGCCTCAAGTAATCTGCCTGTCTCAGCCTCCCAAAGTGTTGTGATTACAGGTGGGAGCCACCGTGCCCAGCCTCTGAATCTTTATTAATATATGTACATTACATAACTTCAAGCTTTAAAAAAATAGAACTGTCATGTGAAGTAACTCTGGCAGGATGCACTGAAGCCGAGCCCAGTGCAGTAGCAAGCTCTCAATGAGGAAAGGCAAAGGATGAAGTGCTTGAGTGTCCATGCTCTGGAGGCACAGGGCCTGGGTTCAAGTCCCAGCTCTGCCACTTCCTGGTTCTGTGAAGTTAAGGCAAGTCATGCAGACTCTCTGTGCCTCAGTTTATTCATCTGTAAATTGAAGCTAACTACTCCTCAAAGATGTTTTGTGAGGATTAAATGAATCTAATACATGTAAGCAACTTAGAGTTGGTGTATTTTATTTGCAAAGAGATTTGAGCAGTGTCTGGCATATAACAAGTCAATTTACATTTGGTTTTTTTTTTAAGGGACTGAGAGGCACCTCAGGGGTGGAATCCACCTGACTTTTTGCCCACAAGGCATGGATAGAAACTGAAACTGCGGGAGAGCCGGGGAAGCATTTAACAGAATTTGAGGAGGGAGATGGAGGGGTAGCCTATCTAGGACAGGAAGTCCCAAGACACCATTTCTGTAGCAAAGAGAGAGGCTAGAACAGAGCCTTTTTGATCTCCTGGGGATGCAAACTCAACTGCAGGTTCTCTACCACCCCTCTCTATACACACTCAAGATACTAGTTGGGACACTGGAGCTTCTGATGCGCAGACACAGTGACCCGAAATCACAGAAGTGGTGGGAGGACAGACTTCAGACCCTAAACTCCCAAGGCCCCTAAAATATTCCCTGGGCAACCTCCAAAACCTTTCCACAAGAAAAACATGACACATTGAACCCCAAGGGCCTCTCTGGAAGCCCTAATGTAGAACTTCTGTCTCAATTAACTAGGGCATGACTATTGTTCCTTTCAGGAGCAAACTGGACAACTCAACACTGCAATTAACACCCTGTATAACTTTCCTAGATGTTCCCTCTATCTATGCCAACACCGCCAGCAGGAATTTCCCATGCCACCGCACCCCCCACCTGCAGATCGGGTCTGTCTCAACCCTGAGACCCCAGGGCTTCTCCTCCTCCTCAGCCTGGCCCCACATCCCACTCTGAGCTGAGTCAACACCTGCTGAGTCAATCCCACTCTGCAGCTGAGTCAGCACCTACAGGACTGAGTCAACTTAAGTAGCAGAGACTTGCTAATCATCCACCTCACAGGAATGGACTTCCCTCTCCAAGAAAATTGGGACAAGGATAGGGATGGTTGTTTCTTTGTTTAAATAGATACATATTAGATTCACTCTGAAAGGGATACTTAACGATGATGACATTTCCTATCCCCCCCTCCAATTATCAAAATAAACCCTACCAGTCCTTCAGAGACAAGTTGGGGTCCTCCTCCCCCAAACACTAACAGCTCACAAGATTCCCCTTCTTTGAGAACTGAGCCTCTCAAAGGTGATCCTGGCCACTTCTACTTTCTGAAACAGGTTCCCCCAATAAAGAAAGACTAGCTCAGAATTACAAAAGTTGAAGATGATTTTAAGTGATTACATATAACAAATTAAATACAATGTTACATAATCAGGTACTAGTTCCAAGCATGGGGCTTATAAAATTTATTCATAGCATATCTGAGGCAGTCTGGTTCAATCATCATGCACAGTTTGAAGGAAGAGAACAACTTCATTCTGTCCCATTGCTGTCTCTCTTCAGCCTTTGTGTATCATTTCATTTGGAGATAATATCAAAGGTTGCAACGTCTTTCATGAATGTGAGGTCTGGGCCAAATAGTCCCGTCCCCAACACTGTGTTCCCCATTGGAGGCCCTGTTTGAGCTCCTGACATTTAAGTCAGTCTTATCATGTTAGACACCCCTCGTAGGCATTGGGCCTGTTTGTGACTGCCCACTATCATGAAAAACTCTTCTGTGTTTAGGGAAGTTCCTTCCATCCAGTTAGGACCTCCATCTCTTCCAGTTATTAATAGCAGGATGAACTCACTTTTTCAGCTGATCTGGTAACCACATTCCAGCCATAAGGCTGAGGTTCCCCTAACTAGAGGTGCCCCAGTAAAGAGGTTTGGAAAGAGAGCCATGTGAGGAAGGTGGATTACGTGGATCTGATCCTTTGGAGATGGTGGCAGCAGAGGAATGGCTTTGGGATGGCACCAGCGGTGGAGCTTCTGGTTCCTGCTGTCCAGGATCATGGACATTATCTACACTGGCAGTGGACACTGAGTAGTACTGCAGTGTAGATTGTGTGTTGTTCTCTGATGCATAGCCTTTAGGCTTGATCCTAGAGATTTGTGGAATACCTAAAATTCTGTAATTCCTTTTTCACTTGAGCTAGAGTGGGTTCTGTTTGCAATAAAGCACAGTGCCTGCCACACCTTTTGGTGGGTATCTGCCCATCTCACAGCTCTCTCCTTTTCCCTGAGACCAGCCCTTCAGATCTATGGTGCCGGGCAGGAGAGGAAGCTGCTGCACATCTGCTCTTTCCAGCCCGGCTCACAGTCAGAGCTGATTGGACCAGGTTAGCTGGACACCTGACTCATGAGAGCCAAACAGATCTGCCCTGGAAATCTGGAAACAGGATTCAGAGATGCTGGTGAGCCTCTGCTGTTGCTCAAATTGAGGATCCAGAGCCTGAGTTTTGGTGGGCAGGAGGGGAAAGGAGTGTTCTATTGATCTGTGTATACAAAGGCAGAGAAGGCTGCTCTGCAGAGAGAAAAATAAAGCAAATATGCAGAGAGAAGCCCGGAGTCACAGCTGCCATGTTCCTGGTGGCTTTTTAGATTGTGGACACAATAATCCTTTGTCAGGCCAAGTGACACTTCCCACTGGAAGACCCTAAGACTTATTCCTGTAGCTTCATATCACTTTTCTCTTTCAGCCCTAAGCAAGTGGAATTTTGTTACTTTAATCTATAAGAATATTTTCTAAAACAGCCACTCATTTGGTAATTATCATGTACCTCTCGGAATTTCCCAAGATGGTTTCCTTGTATTGCTATTGTTTTCTATAATGTTTGTATAAATATAATATATACTTATACTTGTTATTGTATGAGTCTTATACATAAAAGAGTTGTTTTATACATAATTATATGAGTTTATA